AAACGTTACTCATATTATAGTAACTCATATTATAAACATTCCAAAATAGCAGTAAAATTCAACCTTTTTAAAATGTCTGACCCTATGTTATTTTTTATCACAGCTCAGCAGAAACATGTTTGTGTTATTCATGAAGAGAACCACAACTGTTTTGCCGGCGGCTTGTTTACATAACAAACTAAATTTATTTATCCAGGTAAAACCTTTATATGGAATATTTTCCTTATAGTTCACTATTAAAATGTTGTTACTGCATTTGGCTCATTTTTGTAGTCTCATCATAGACGATTTAAAAAGACAACAAGAATTAATAAGCAACGCTTCGTACATATACTCATGTTAATAATATGATTTTAATTGAAAATTTTGCAACACAATTTTACGTTCAAGGAAATCTAAACCCTGGGCATCTAAAAATCATCTAAAACGTGGGCTTAATGCTTGGTTACAATATTATACCAACCCTACACATTTGTTATGTTGTACTGTCATTAACAGACAAATCATCAAACACCTTTGGAAACTTTAACCTGATAACTAAGAGGTATTTTGACACTGAAATGAAGTATATCAAATATCTTTAATACCATTAACCTCATGATACTTATATTAATGTAATCACAGTTTTAAAAACTAAAAGCCCTGACAAAAATCAAGATACGGGGATTTACAGTAATTTAACGAATAAGAATTTAATTTAGCCATAAAAACGACTTCAAATTGTTTGTTTTATTTGAAAATAAAGAAAGCCATTAAGTGAACGTCCGCAATCAAATCTTCCATTCAAATTAATTTTCATTCAAACAATGAATTTTATCTCAGAAACTGACAGTAAAAACTGTAGAAAAGAACCTGACGTGAAAAGAATGGGTGAACAAGAAAAGAGTTGGTGTCAAGAACTCTTCAGTCAAGTGGAATAATTGAAACGCAACAATCGTTTAGAGCTTCTATTGTTCTACAGCTGTGAATCATCACTCATCTGTCACAATTAATTGTAGATTATTCAAATGGCAGCGAAACATAATTTTAAATATGATAAAGTATTTATGAGATTGGGATATGAGAAACAACTGTTAAAATACTTACCAATCCAAATATTTGGAATAATGCTTTGCTTTGTTCCATTCAAAGGTTTCCAAAGCTCAATAGTTCCTAGTAGTTTAGTTAATGAAGTCATTTTTAGGCTATCGCAATACTTATACCAGACATTGTACACATTTAGCACAAAAATACACAATAATTACCATCTTTATACTCCGAATTGGGAAGAAAATCACCATGCCAACCTTTGAAGCTATTATAATTTAATAATATGGTTGACTGCCTATTTGATATTAAACAGTTTGTAATAAATAAATTGAGGTTATTACTAAATTCAGACTTTTACACCTGTAATAAATCATTGACCCATCTAGGCTTATAACATTAGTCTACAGCTTGCAGTTAAAGTTTGATTATTTTTTTAAATAAGGATGTAAAATGTAAGTTTTTCACATTTAAGATTTTCTTCTGACTCCTAGTGGGCTGACCTTCTGAAAAGGTAGCGCATCTTTGAATAATGTGTTAAAATTATCTTAATTCCCAGTGACTGTGTACCAAGTTTTGAAGCTATATCTATATATATAATACGTGAAGCCGTTTTTTGTTAACGCAACTCCTCCCTTATTAGTGGACCAATTTCAACGTTTAAGGTGTCAAAGATTCGTCTCAATATGTAGTTTTGCAATAAGGTTTTATAATTTTTAAATTCCTACTCCTAAGGGCGTAGGGCTCTCTCAAAGGTCGGGTTTTCTCCATAAGAAATGCATAGAACAATTTTAAAAACAAAAAACAGCTGTTTATAAAACTAACTTATTAGCTTTTTGGGAGTAAATATTAATGTTTGTAATATTCAGTAGGTAAAACAGTTAAACAATGTTGTTGGAAGAATAGAAAATGCCTTATGTTCAAAGAAGAAATATTGAAAACGGGAGGATGAGACAATTAGTAATATGATATCTTATGCGTATGAGGAGAGTAGTAAATGAGAGGCCTGGTTTGACTGAATTCACCAACACATTCCAGACATTTCAAGTAAAAAATAAGAAGTTCCAAAAACTCATTTGCTATTAAAAGTTTAAGTTTCAATATTAGACAAAACATAAGTGAAGGAATTAGTGTTTATGTAACTTATTCAACGATCGAGTATAGTTACGGTCAAGTTTATTTTTATTATTCAGGAGAGGCAAATAATATACGCTGTTCAAAAAGATCAAATGAAATTTGTATCCAAATCTTATAGCTACAAGAGTTATCCAACCTATTTCGACAAATGAATCCATACTTCCAAAACTTTGGGATAGGAGGAAACTCCACTGAACAACGTGAGAACGTTCTGATGTGGGGCATATAAGTTACTGTGACTGACAGACAACACGTTAAAATACGTTAACCAACTCTCGAATTGAAGCAGATCATTTACCATTCATTAGAAGTTGTCAGTTAAAACTGAGAGCAGAAATAAAGTAGGTGAACCTTGACGACGCAAATAGAGATATTTAAAATTAGTCTCTAACAAGTGTTTAAACAACTCAACTCGAATTTAAGGATAACGTTTTCCTCGGTGTTTCATACTATGCGGCTCATCGAGCCGCACGGGTTCTCTAGTTTATATTACTTTTTGAAATATTTAACCGTCCCTGGACTTTTTTCCACCCTGTATAATACGTATAAAAATGGGTAGTTTTTTTAGATATATTATAATAATTTCTTTGGCATTACTATACTCTAGGCACCCATTACAACTGTAAGCTTGGGGAGATAAGTTAACAACGGTTCGTTACAAATCTATAATGTTTAACCGTTTTTCACCACACTATGACGTTTTTGGCTGTATTACATACGTTTATTGGTGGCTGAAAGTTACGTTTTGCTGGCCATGCCAGCTGTCGCCAATTTGGGGACCGAGCAGGTTTTTACAGGCCGGGGCCGCAAAATCAGCTGTCCGCTTACTTACTTAAAACATGAATGCGTTTTAAATACACAATCAAATTCCATAGCATTGCAATATAGAATTGTGTTATTGTCACCGTTGCCTAGCAACTATTTATTTATATTTTTGCTGATTCCTCAAATTATTTCTTCACATAACCTTAAAGTTGTAGTTGTGTTGACGATCAGTGTGTATTATTATAGTGGTGAATAGTGGTAATAGGGTATAGTGTGGTGAAAAAAAGCGTTCGTACCACGGACCGAAATGGTTTTGCAGCTCTCGATCGATTTAAGTTCTCGACTTTGTCTCGAACTTAAAAACTATCTCGAGCCGGCAAAACCTCATTTTCGGCCCTAGGTACGAAATATACTATAACGCATATCATAAGAATCGCAAAACAAACGTCATAAAACAAAATGCTAAAAATGTACGCAGAGAAATAATTTAATTTTGTTACCATATACTTGACTCAGCGGTTTTCACAAAAAGAAGGAATCCCACAGGACACACAATTCATAATCTCAACTGTGTGTGCCGCAATATGGCTGTTGAAAAACAATTGGCAACGATATAAATTTCCCTTTCTATATATAGTTTGCTGTCTACACATTTGCAAACGTCTGGCTGCTTGTTTTCCCTTTGTGCATCACCAAACCAAGTAACTGAACATAGTAAAACTTCTGGGAATTGCTTCTACACATGCATGAGAAACATTCGTCTTATTTCGATGCTTATATCTCGGCTATGCCCTAGGGCTTTCCACATTATTAGCTTACACGTATGAGAAAGACGGAATATTTTTGTAAAAATCATGATTTTATATATTGACATCACATTGGGTTTCGTTTACCCTTAATAGTTTAATTTGATACTTTCAAGCTGCTGCACCCTTCTCATATAAATACAATAGGGAAAGGACAAATCTGTTATTTTATTGACAATTATCCATGAAAACACTGAGCAATTTTATAATGTTTTATTTTTTACTTTTTACCATTACCTTTCCTAAATGATTTTTGATCAAATCTTGCATATGGCCAACTCCAGAAAATTGATAGTCTGTTTTCCAATTAAGTTTCTTTAATAGTACCATTGTTTAGAGAAAATACATAATATTCCATAATTAATGACGATTCTAATAACTCTTTTACTTACGTTAGGTATCTTCATACGCCTTGTCTTCAAAGGGCTCTTCAATCTTAGTATATACTCCTTTGCGAAGCGAAGTGAAGACTAAGTGATGTAATACATTTATAAATAATATATTCTTCTATATAAATAGGCAAGCATGTTTCTTGAAAACCTCTTTTCTCAGCTTACTGGACCTGTAGGGGTTGCTATGCTGGTGACGAAATGACAACAAAATACAAACAGAGAACCAAATCAAATAGAATAATTTCCAATCACATGTTTTATTTACAGCGTGGGGTGAAAATAGACTGCGTTACAAAGTTTGATCGAGTTTTCGACCACTGGACGACCTCTACTTAACCTTAATGCGCTTCGTTGTACCTAGATGTAACAAATAATATATTTAAGAGTCGCCGAGTACTTATAGCGCTCGTCTGCATACCCGAAAGTGTGTGAATTGACTTCAATTGAGAAGTGTATTGGATCCAGATGGCTCTTTTCTACCGATTATTGATGCTATGCAACAAAAGGTTGACCAGTGAACTAAAACTTTCCTAACATTTTACAAAATCATCGAAGTTCCAATTGCACACAAACACTCAAATAAACACCACCTTACAAAATAAAAATAGGTTTTCATCAAACTTTTTTTACTTCAACAGTTTTATACGTCTAGGAGGGTAATTTTGTCGAACAAATTTCACAAGATCTTTCACTTGGCACGTTGGCGTTTTAAAAAGTAGTTTTTCGATTTGTACGAATGGTGTCAGTTTTGACCATTTGCATCAGTTTCGCCATTTGCGAAGTTTTCGCCTTTCCCAGTCCCCTTGACCGGCGAGATGCCCCTTGTTGTATATAAGACTGAGAGAGAGTTGGGACAGTCACAGTGCGTGATGGATACAGTGTCGGTTGTGTGCCTTTTGGCGGCGCTTGCTGGTAAGTTTATCACTACAAAATGCATAAGGACTAAATTTTTAAATGTATAAATCCAATTCACAATTAACTTTTAATTTGTAGAGGCAACAACTTTTTTTAATTCAAATTATTTTTAGATTGCCGTAACACTATAGTTTTGTGTTATATTTGTGTGTTTTCAGTAAATTGGGAATTTTAAAAGTTATTTCTGTTAAAAGGGAACAGGACAAACCCTATTTCGATCTTTAGATACCACCATTGTTTGCCAGAATTATGACTGAGCCTATTTATCAAATCTATCACCTCCGGATAAAAAATCTGGCACTCAAACCACATTACTACCCATACATATTATATTTTGTGTTGCGTTTATAAATTTCATCAGATTCAAATTGCATTAAAAATAGGTTTTAAAAATATTTACATATTCAATTAAAAATTATATAATTTATCATTCAGTGCAACAATTGATTGAAAATGTAGATGGAATTCAAAGATAACATTTGAAATCATAACGATATTTTTACAACTCTGACGATAAAATCTTGACATTTAATAAGGCCGAGACTTCAGTTTTATTATACATCTTTTACTAAGGCCAAAAGTAGCTTTGGATTCAAATACTATTTGAAATCAATTCGGAGAATATGTCTGAATAAAAAATATATAAAACTGATCTAATAAAACTCAGTTTGAGCTTTTAACTGATTACGCAAAATGTATCCCATCGTGTATTTCTTATAAATCAATATTCTTTTGAATTATGAATCACTTAAATACTTGGGAAATAAAATGTACCAGACTTAAACCAGAAGTATAAACGATGGTTGCAAAAATTCCCTTACCATAAATATAAGTTTTAAAATTCTTCATCGAGCTTTGATTATTAAGTTTTATCTTTACTTACGTTTTCTTTTTTACGAAACATGTTTAAGAGTGTAAAAGTAAAATAAGAAGAAATATTTTATTCGTGTTGAAACAAGGCTTTCATACATTTTATGCTGTCTTAAAACATGGATGTGTTTAGGACTACGGTCATTGTAACACTAAATTCTATGATTACAAATTAACATTGAATTGTTAGTGTAATTTGAATAGTCTATTTTTCACATTCAGGACTAGATATGAAAATTGTAAACGTATTCTTCCTTTAAATATTGTATTAAAAATCGCGTCTTACAAAAAATGATGTATAGAAAAGCTTTAATCTTTTAGTACTTTTTGTTATTTTATCAAGTTCAAATGTTAACATGAGGTATATTAGACTTAGACGAGAATAAATACATAATGGTTATATACTCTGGCACTATATGGACGTACATTTCAAAAGTTTTTTACTCTGCTACATTAAGTAAAGAAAAATATTCATTTTGTAAACTTATAAATTTTCAAAATATTTTTAATTAACAATCAAAACTATATATTATAAAATGACACTTAGAACAAGAACTTTGAATGCCTTAGGAAGTAAATCTTGTCTCTAAAGCAAACTTCTGGAGATGGTCAACAAGTTTAGATTGTGCTGTGAATAGTAATGTTCGTATGTCAGATGTGCTGCAAAGTAGAACTCAAAGTTCAACAATGGACTCCCTTCTTTATATTCAAAGTAGGGAGATTATTTAAAGACATATTCTTTATTCTGTAAACAGATTTTATCGTTGAATTAAACTTTGAAGTTGAGATTTACGCAACAACAAATTTGAGTACAATTTGTAGCAAATAATAACTGAACGACTGATCCTAATAATCTAGATTTTTTAATTGTTTTTTGGGGTTTCAAATTAAAATATATTGAAGTTGGATCAACATTAAAATACAAAACTCTATTTTAGGGCAAAACTGTTACAGGATTAACAACTACGACAATTACAGGTTTAAAAAAATCAGTCTTAGTGGGTGAAATGTATTGGCATAATATTGGACATAATTAATGAATTTTTGAATCGTTTCTATAATGATTAGTTTATATTTTTTTGAAAAGCTGTGTAGTACTAACGTTTTTCCCAGCTTGATCAATGTTTAGCTTATTAATTGTTGTTTCAATAATTAATTTGTCTTACATGTGCTTCAACACCACTAGCATTTTGACGTTTCTTGTAGGGGGCGGTTCAACAATAACACAAATATTAATTTTAAATAAATTAAAACTTTATAGGAAAAACAAAGTCAACAAGTCTTCATATCTAGTAATTTTGTGCCCATATATCGATAACCTAAACCTAAACCCGATTGTATCCTACGGTTTAATACATTTCAGTAATAATGACTTTAATTCACAATGCATAAATATTTAATATTGTCACTCGATAAGTTAACATAGTACAGCTGTTGTATGTATTCGAAATCACACGGAATAGTTGTTAGGTCATACTTAATCATCGCATCGAAAATATATTGGTGATTGCCAAAATTGTCAACCATATTCTACTAAACCAAGTACAAGAGAACTTTCTTGATACTATTTTACTACTCCGATTCACTATTTAAATAATTTATTGAAAAAATCTTTGTTATTTAAATTAAAACTAGAATTATACTTTTCAGCTAGCAGTTATGGATACTCTGTGGACCCCAGTTTTGGAGGGAAATCAGTGTTTTCTCCCGGGTTTGAGGAAAAGCTGAACTTCCCACCTCCGGGTTACTCCCCGAACAAAGTGCCCGGTGCTCCCGCCCCAGACCACAAGCCCATCTTCGAGGGTATGCCCGCCCCCGTGGCCGCCTACCCGTCCAAGTTCGGCGCCGTCCCCACTGGATACCCCGCCAAGACCAACAACCTGGTCGAGAGGTTCCGCTGGAGGTTTGTGGACTATGAGTTCCCGTCTGAGGAGGCTAGGTACGCCGCTATTGCCCAAGGTGCCTACATCCCAGAGAACAACCTGCCCGTGGGCATTGAACTGTGGCAAGACAAGATGTTCATCTCCGTCCCCCGTTGGGCTGGAGGTAAATACGAATTGGTTTTCATCATTTTATCTTATACCTCTTAATCTTATTATTGTATCTTATCTTGTGCAAGTAAGAGTGTACTACTCTCCAATACAGAAATATACATGGACACTTGTCTGCATTACCATTATCTAATACAGATGGGAAACCTAAAACGTAATACGTTCACCCATAGTCGCCATTGAATATCTACAGGCTAAGTGAATTGCCATTTAAATGGTTGGACTTTTAGTCAAATATTCTCTTAAAATTGACAGATTTATTTTATATTTAAATAACATTAGTTTAACGAGAGCTTAGATTCACTGCTACAGGGAAGGTAATAAAGTTGAAACGTTAATAGATAAGTATGGAATAAATAAATTTGCCATATTTGATCAAAATGAATCCCTAATCAACAAAATTACATCAGTTTATTATTTTATTCCACGTAAAAATAACATGAATTTAAAATGTACAGTTCTTATTTAAATTCTCTCCGAAAATTAGGCTTACAACAACGCTTCGAAATACTAATTTTCGATCTCTACAAAATTGCTTAGAAAGAAATTGCAAAATATTCTTTTGGTTTCAAAAATGGAGGAAATAGTCCGATTATGCTGGTTCGTAAACTCGTTCGAGCAATTAAAGGTTTACGTGTTTGTATTACATTCCTCCAAAATATAATGATTTTTACTCTAGTCATAGTCTTACCTGAAGCGGTTAGAGCTGTATTGGGAATTCACAATATGGGCCAGAATCATCGTCAGTTCCTATTAAATAACTTCTTGATCAGCAGAAACCAATTCCTATTAATATACAAATATTTTAATCATCGATTTAAATGATAAAGTCAAATTTTAAGGGTCGTAGTTCCATTTTAAATGAATATCTTAAGTCATTACTAGTTCAAAATGTTACCATAGATTATTGGGGAAAAGGTTGACGAATAACACTGTAATATAAGAGCGTTTCTATGTGTTTGATAACGTAGAGTGTGCGAATGTTGACTCGACACGTATTTGTCTTTTACATTTTGTTTGGGTTTGGAGAACGATGGTTTACGACTATTTGTTCAGTTTTGTATAAATAGCTCTCTCCTGGTATTAAAGAAATCAACGTTTTTATTCGTATTGAAGAGATACATTTTCCTTTATTCAATGATCAATGGGTTACAAATAATATTATCTCCAGTTGGAGGTAAACGTTTCTCGATGCAGTTAACTTGTTTTATGCAATTCAAGCATTTATTCTAACTGAATCATCATACAATTAAAATAGAAAAATGACCTTATATAGGGATTTCATTATTATTTGTATCTACCTATCTTCCAATATAACAACAATTAAGCATCTTACTTAGTATTATTGTAAATGCAAAGGCGTACATTGTTTGCCATGATGGAAAGAGTGTTTTTGATGGAGCTTACATGAAGACCATCACAACAGTAAAATATAATCGTACGCGGAACATCGGAGCATAAACACTGACGATTCACTGCTTCTGTATAATTTAATTTCACAGACCATTTATATAAAAGCATGGGCTTCGTTTACGGTTTAAAAATTTATAACTTGAAATGTTAATTAACGTAATGTGTGAATACTCGAAACAAATTTTTGGGCAATGCTACCTTTGTTACAGAGACCAATGAAAAAGGTCAAAAGTCACAACAGCCTCAAAAGAGCTAAAACATATTTTTGCATTAATGCAACATTTTTATAGCCTATACATATTACATCGGTATATGCAAACGTTTGTTGTAGGGCCCAAGTGTATATAATTTAACTCAAACTTCATATAACCATAAAATAGTATATTAACAATTACATTTAACAAAAAATTAATAAATATGTTGAAAAACTCGTCACAAATTAAATATTGGTACATGTACTAGTAATTCAGTCAACATCAAACTTATAAACGATTTTGTGGTTCAAAGTTTGCAGGCAATTTATTGATCGACAACAGCAAGGGTGCAACGTGATTTAATGTTACGGCATTAGGTTTCTCACTCCCTCTCCCCAAGGATAAGTTAATCCAACTATCAAAATAGTAGTAGGGTTGTTGTACAACGTTAACACTTTAGTCAGTGACTAAGTTCTAACAAATTTAAATACTACAACTCAGACTGTGTTGTAATATTTCTTTTATTTGTGTACATATAAGAACTATTTCTATTATCTACAGAAAAGTAGTTAGGGAGCTCATGGGATTTAACTCTCACTTTTTTAAGTCATTTAGTAACTTTTAGTTTAGTAACCTTATAGTCAAATATAAACAAGTCAACACGTCTATTTAATCAAAGAAAAGAGAACTGTTATAACAAATTATCTAGTTGTCATTATTAAACACAAAATAATTGCTGAAAGCCAACACAAGTATCGCCATAACTACTTGAACTGCGCCGAATACAAAGAAACCGTTACAACACAAAACCTGTGTTAGATAACCTGTCCCCCATAAGTTACAATTACGTCAACATCGGTGACATCCTTAATTGTACGCAGCTACAAACGCGTGCACTGCGCAGCTGTAGCTGTAATCACTGCGCAGGTTGTCGGTAACCGCTGTGCGTGCGCATCTTGCATGTCTCGTGCAGGAATCCTAATTGACAGGACAGTCTTATATCTTATGTAAGCTTGTAGGTCTCAGCTCCATTTTTAATTTGCCAATCAGCCGACGGCGTGTTGAGCCACCGCTTCAGCGAAAACCACAGATGCAACGAGTCTGAACTAGGCCGCCAGATAATCTTCAATAAAAAATCGTTACACAGACCTGTGTTAATGACAGTGTTCCCACCAGAGTTAGGCCGTTCCCACAACAGTCCTGGTCATGGTGAACAACTTTCGTGGTGACGTATTTGTCCAAACTGTTTTTCACAGTTCATCAACGTTTCCTCCAAACTGATTGATGTTTCGTTTCCACACGTCATGATTCAGCGGTTTTTTCTTTCTGGTTGTGAAGATGAAAAATGTATCCCGTTATAAACGTATTAGGTGCATAAACGATGACGAGACATTTTTTAACAATTGAGTAGTTTATTTTATTTTTATACCCACTCAAAATAGAATGCATTTATTGATGTGAACTATTGGGAATTAATCAAATTGACCACAATAACAATTATTGTTTGCAATCGACATTTTTCGTTTACAGTAAATGTTTCGGTCGTTTATTCACTTGTTTGTTTGTTTGGCATTATACCAGATATTTCAACAGATTTGATTGGTTTTATCTGAAACAGAAGATTTAAAACGATTTCGAAAGTTCGAAATCTGTAATTCTGACTAAATGTACCGCATTCCGGTTCATAAACAAAGCTATTACTTTTTAACTATACTGCATCATAATATTTTCATGCTCCAATAAAAGTGAAATACTTTGAATTGTGTATATTAAAATTTATCTAACGATTTCGCTTATGAATAATAACTATTACAATTTCATAACCAATAATTACAAAATGTATAACTTTTCCTTGAGAAAGTATTACGGTAGTTAGTATGTTTGGTACAAAAACTACCTCACCAAACTGGAAATATGTACAAGTTCACTGCCAGTTTTTTGCTCGACTGATGTGAGTCAAAACCTGATTACACTTTCATACACCGCACGCCCATTCAATCGTTCAATTCCACTTCATTTGCACCACTAATTAGTCAAGAGAACCAGCTGAAAGTGAGAATTCACTGCAGCGTAAAGATATAAAATTAGCAAACCCGCCGTAGCGGGAAGTCAATATGGCGGGCGCAAAAACCCGTCCACACGTGCGACACAGTGATCTTGGCCTGGTCAGCTGTTGGTTGTTTACAGCGCAGGCGCGTGGCGGAGCAACGGCCCGCGCGGGGACATTGCACATGCGTAGTGAAAGGGGCGTGGCGCGGGGACAACCGGTCTACTGTGCTGCCACTTAGCGTTATCTAAGCTAATGTCCGTCGAGCTATTGAAAGGTTATGCACAACAATGACTTAATGATGTCATTATGCTATAGTATTGCCACAAACTACTCCTGGAAACGTATAATCTTTATTTCATCATACAGCGATTTGGGGCGTCCTTCAGCCTACCTTGACCGGAGGATATGGCGGTAATATGGAGATTTCGAGGTGTTCTATTCGACCTTAGATACTTTTACTTTCATTTTCTAAGTCACTAGCGGATCTTGGGACATTCGTCTGTGATTTGGTTATATTTTTCATGAATAGTAAAATATTCGTGATTTTATCTAATTGAACGTGTTTTTAATATGTTAATGGATTAAAACATGTTCAATTAAATGAAATGGAATCAAATTCCAATGTTTAATATGTTAATAGTTAGGGGGGGGGCTGGTCTAGTGGTAGAGTGCAGGGCTTCGGAGTCCAAGGTCCCGAGTTCAAATCCCGCCAATAACCAATGGATTGTTTCTAGTGATAATACAGCGAACCTCTAGGTATAGACTGAAATAATGTGTAAACAGTCCCGGACTAAAACCTAGGACAAAAGTTTTTCATTGTTAATTGTATAGGAAGCATAAACATTTTCATCATCATGAATATGTTAGGGAGCAGATGAGAGCTATTTTGATATTTCAAAATATTCAACGTACACAATTGAAAATGACTTTCGACACAGTTCTTTATCTCAATAAGCGATCTTATGATATAAATCTTGACAATACATGTTGTGACATCACGGCATGTATCGCGTGTTAGGTCGTGACGTGTATGACTGTGACGTATGTGGGTGTTCCTAACGAGAACCTACTTTATATGGAAATTATAAATTTTACATCTCATTGTACATTAATTATCTTATTATACATATTAATATTGCTCGAAAACGCTTTAAAACCAAAGGGTCGATTAGTTGTATTCAAACAATATGTTTTGAATTTTATTTTTGTAAAATAGTTTAAACTAATGCCTTTCTAAAAACCTTTAATAACTGTTATACACAACCGTTATACCGTTTGTGAAATACGAATCAATACAGCACAATACTTCTACCTACACGTTATATTGTCGTCATTAGAAACTGGAAACCAGAAAAGAGAAATTTATAGGTATACTTTGTCAAATAAATGTTCACACTTGAAGTTGTGTTGTAATATTTCTTATTGAGGGGCTCTACTTCTTTATTTTAACATTCCCTATGTCCTTTTAATCCGTAAAATCTTTGATCCACTGCTTCATATTATACATATCTTCAAGATTGCGCTACATGAATTAAAACTAGAGGTCGTCCAGTGGTCGAAAACTCGACCATAATCGTGTAATGTACAGCCTTCTCTATTTACACCTAATGCTATAAATAAAAAATGTGATTGGAATTTCTTTAATTTGTTTTGATTTGATGTTTATATTTCGTTGTTATTTCGTAACCATCATGGCAACCCAAAAGTCCAATGTTAATTAAAAAAAAATTGATTTCATTTTTCGTGTTTCTTTTTTAGCCTATTTTAATGTATACAGGGGTTCTGCACATCTACAGAAAAATATCTTTCTAACACAGCTTCCAGTATGCGTAGAATTTCCCTGCGATGCACACGAGCTGAGAAAGAAACATGCTTGCGTATTAATATGTAGGATTTAGGCCTACCCGAAGGTTTACACGTCTTGAATTAGGTTTTTTTAGCCTTCCTCTTCATCTACATTATCTTCCACCGTCGACCTCCATACCAAATAACATCCTACGCCTTTCTTTCCTAATTTTCACCTCCCCCTCTTCTCCATAGTCCTTCTCATTGTTCACGCTTCGTACTTTCTTATCCTGAAAACTTTGCATTCTTTGTAGGGGTTTTAATAACTTTTTCCAATTACATTGATATATTTTAATATCTTCTCTTGACTTCCAGGTGTACCTTCAACCCTGAACTATCTCCCAGTGGACGCCGCCCCCGTGGACGAACCTCGCCTCATCCCCTACCCTGACTTGGCCGGCAACGCTATAGAAGACTGCGACGCCCTCACCACTGTCTACCGTATCAGGGTCGACGAATGTGACAGACTTTGGGTCTTGGACTCTGGAACCGTTGGAATCGGTAAGAAACTCATAACTGTTTGAAATTGGTTAATTTGATTTGATACTGTAATGAGCTCAGTGGCGATAGTAATTTAAATTAATCACACCGATTCCGTCTATTTTATAACCGTTCAGGTTTAAAAAGAGATTCTCTATTTGGAAAAAGTTAAACAAAAGATTATACTATTTGCAAACAATAGGATGATATAATCATACAGCTGAGAAGCCTATTGTTCTGTATCAAAGTATTATCAACTTTAAAGTAAGCATCTTAATGAGCCGGAAAGTATTATCATCCGTAAATAACTTTTTAATCTTTGACTTTTTTAGATTTCCAGTATTGTTATGAGTTGACCAGTTGACCTTATACGATTTGAAAAGTAATTTTAGGTTTTTATTCGTTTACTAATCATTTCGATAGATTTTTTGGTCGTGATTTTAAATGTTTCAACCTAAGGTGATTTTAATAATAATAAATCATGATAAAACATTTTTACTGAGCCACTTACAGGACTTCTTTTCTAATTCTTACGGAAAAGTTTGGTAAACGCAGCAAAAGTTATATAACAATTTTTTTCTACAATTCACAATAATTTTTAAATCCCGATTTACATCATTGATATCCATAATAGATCCCCATCATACGTTGTTTAGTTCAACAAATTTGAAAACTATTTATTATTATGTAGGGAAAACAAGTAGTCGCAAGTAGAGTTAATGAAAACGGACATTTCATGGCAATAGCTGTAATGAACAATAAAAGCTTGCAATAAAAGCTCTTCAATTACATGCGGTACCATTTAACTATGATGGTGTAAAAACCACGATAATGGCATGCAAGCACTTGTAACAGTTCATAATGCGTTATCTCTGTAGTTGTATGCAACCTTTCATAAAGACCTCTGAATATTTAAATAACAAGTTAAATAAACATAAGATTTTGGATAATGTCGTTCTAGATTAGTTTCTTTATGTAGATAATTGCAAACCTTTTACCATCAGAACTTACATGATTTACAAGTGAACGTATTTTAGTATTTTTACATCAACAATGACGGTTTTTGTGATTGTATTTACTGACGTCAAATTCATTTTATGATTAAAAGCTGTTTGATTACCTAAAATATTTACGATGACAATTTAATTAAAATAAATTGTTAAATTTAAATTTTAACAACAATTTAATTTCATGTCCCAGTTTTCATGACTACTACTGTTTCTTACCGGAGGACCAAAAAGTTCTTGATCCCACTATAAACATAACATTTAGATTGTTGCATCCGGGATTCTTGGTATTAATGGTAGTATGGGCTCGTTAGTAGCATTACATATGAAACACATATACTTAATTGATCTTGTATGCACAGGTAACACGACTCAACAGGTTTGCCCGTACGCGTATCACGTGTTCGATCTCCGCACCAACCAAAAGATCCGCAAATACCAGCTGAAGGATGACGACATCAACGCCAACACCTTCATCGCTAACATCGCCGTAGACGTGGGCAAGACCTGTGACGACACTTTCGTCTACGCCTCAGACGAGCTGGGCTACGGTCTAATCGTCTACGACTTTGCCAAGGACGATTCCTACAGGTTCGAGCACGGCTTCTTCTTCCCCGACCCTCTGGCGGGAGACTTCAACATCGGTGGAATCAACTTCCAGTGGAGCGCTGAGGGTATCTTCGGCATGGCTCTGTCAGCTCCTCAACCCAGCGGGTTCAAGACCCTCTTCTTCCACTCTCTAGCTAGCAACCGCGAGTTCTTCGTGTCTACTGAAGTTTTGAAGAACAAGGAGAAGAAGGATGAGAGCTACCACGACTTTTCCGTCCTTCCTTCCAGAGGACCTGGTGGTCACGTGACCTCCCAGGTGATAGATGAGAATGGCATCATGTTCTTCAACTTGATCGACCAGAACGCTATTGGTTGCTGGGACACCAGGAAGCCGTACAGCAAGGAGAATCTGGCTGTAGTTGCCAAGGACGATGAAGGACTCATCTTCCCCAGTGACGTCAGAGTAGACAGGACCGGTACCTTGTGGGCGATCTCTGACAGGATGCCAGTACATCTCGAGGCTTCCCTGGACTTCAGGGATATCAACTTCAGAGTTTTCTTCGCTCCTGCCCAAGCTCTCATTGCCGGAACTGTCTGCGACCCTGCCAAAGTCAAAACAAACCCTCAATATCTTTACTAAGACTGTGATGTAAAATATTACAATTTAGACATATCCTAGCCATATAACAGTTTAAACCATCTTTTAGGAGAGAACATTTTGACTTCTATGGTAATTTTTTAAAGAACTTGTTCCTTTTCCATCACATTTAAAATAGTTCAAGTTGTTATCAGTCATATTCATTCATATTATCATATCATATCATTAAAATCATGATATTTGCTACGATAGCTTGTACAATGACGGTGTGACTCGAGTGGATTCCTGATGGAATTCCCTGCAGAGTTTACTTTTCAGGGGAAAATATAAGTGCGTACTTGTTTTTTCATTGATACTTTTGTTTAATTCATTGATCAAGGCGAAGTACTTAACTATCAGGGTCGTAAATTTCCTAAAAGGAAATCTTGTATTTACACAGTTCGATTAGTTTACAGGTATAATTGCAATTAGCGTTAATTATTTCTGTCAAATCAAACAAGCTTTGGTAGCAATCATGATTTGCCCTTCGGTGAATTAGGGATAATGGTTTTAATGGAGGAATGTAAACTAACAAAGGGTCAAGTTGCCGTCAACAAGATACCAAAGTTACGGTGCTATGTATAAATGTACATAATAAATACATTTTTTATACTTAAACGTGTTGTCTCTTTATTTATTTTAATGTTAAGCGTTATTAATGAAAAAGGTAATAAAAAGGTAAATTTGAATTTACATGATACAATAATGCCAGATGCTTTTGAAAAGCTATTGTGTGAAAAGAAGGTGGTCTAAACTTTATACCAAACAAACTTTAAAAGTTCATCCCATCATGTGATTATTATATTATTCGTAAGGAAACCAAACAGAATATTTATCCCAACTTACATAATTTGCCTGCATTAAGAGTCTTAAAAATTATTGGTAACTTAAGAGACAATTTACTTTAAGACTTTAAATGTCACAGTTTTTTTTAGACAAGTCAGTATTTTCCCCCAGTGTATATTTGTTTGTTTAAGTTAATAACATTTTCAACCAAGAGGTGATATACGTTTTGTTTACAACAACATCAATCTGTTGTATAAAAGTATGAATAATTATCAGCTCCAAGAAAAATCAAAACTTGGCCCAGAATCCATCCATTGAAATAGAATCGGTGCACTTAACTAACATCCTTTTGAGACAGTTAAAGAGTTATTAAAATATTGTCAGTGTTCTACATCCGCAATTCGTAAAAAAACTAACATACTACAGTACAATGACTGAAGAGGACAAAGTCCTAAAACAGCCTCAGTCCAGTAGGGTTTCAGCTCACTGGACTGGAACATCATGACTAACGAACGAGCTAACATACTATAATGCCTGATTTACTTGCAACACATTAAAATGATGTGTCACCAATGAAATCTAAATAATAAAGTAATTTTGATTCACTTTGCACTTGAAAGCACTGTTTTCCCAAAATATAATTTTGAACTGGGTTTACCGACATATCTTTTTAGCGAATTTCCCTACAGGGAAGTAGCTATTAGCGTAGGTGGCACGGTAAGACCTAGGCTCGGGACCGATTTACTCTTTCATTTTGATGTCCCCAGAGGCCAAAAACACAATTCGTTTAAATTTTTATACATATATATACGTCCGTGAACGCGATAACTTGAGTAATTTTTGTCCAATTTTGATGAAATTATGCTTAAAGGTGTAATGTGGGATACAATTGAAGGAATTCATGAACCAACATGATTGGATCATGGGAACGGGGTTTTAGGGGTAAAAATGGTTTTTCTTATTTTTGATCCTCAAAACACAAAATGTCCCAACTTCTCTCTAGACCATTTTAAAGAGCTTAAAAAAATCATTTAGTATATCAAAGTGTTTTTGTACGGTTATTAGTTACGGAGAAAATGAAAAAAAAACTGCAAATTTAAAATTCCCATGTTATTTTTATGGAGGATATTGTAAAAGGTTGTGGTTTGCTTGTTTATGGAAATATTTTGATCAAACTTGGCAAAATTAGTTATTTTATACTAAGCTACGTTATTAGCCTCCGTGTAGCAGCAAAACAGGTACTTGTTAAACCTAATGTTATTTAAATAGATTTAATTTAAAATCAATTGAGGCAAATGGAAATTCGCTCATTCTACAAGTTTGCTGCGGCGGGGGTATTTTTCTTTTTTTCCATATCATGTAGTGGAAATAACGTATCAGATTAATCAAAAAGCTATATTTTCAATAATAGCTTACAAGCTTAGAGAAGTAAACTGGCTAACAGAAATTTTGGGAAGGACGTAAAATAATGAGTGGGGTTTTGATAAATGATCATTGCTCTTTCTATGCAAGGTCTGGGTTAAAGATACGTCTAACTGATAGTCAGTATCGAAGTATTGAAGATTTCTTACTCCATTCTGTAAACATTCTGTGTTCCATTGTGTGTGTGTGTGTCTCCATTCTGTGTTTTAACGTTTGGGTTAAAATGCGCCCAGTTTCGGTTTATTATTGTGACAAAAAAAGAAAATTCTCGTGCTTGCTTAATATTTTAAATTCTGTTACAATTTTATGTTTTCACAAAACAAAAGATACTAGTAAAGTTCTCTAGATTCCTTATTAATGATTTAAATGAGCGTTAATGTCTATCTCAATTATTACATTTACAAGAACTATGTACTTTTTTTCATAAGCAGACCATTTAATATACTAGAGGTCACCCAATGGTAAAAACTCGACCAAAAATACGTAATGCGCAGACTTCCCTGTTTAACCCCACGCTGTAAACATAACATGTGATTGAAATTTTATTTTGTTGTTATTTCATCGCATGGCAATCCATAAGGCCCATGTTTAATTGTTTAAGTTTTGAATTCATTTTTTGTTCTTATTTTTGAGCCTATTTTAGTTTATAAAGGGATTTTGCAAACACAGGTAAATACCTTTCCAACAGTATGCGTAGATTTTTCCTGCGATGCTTACGAGCTGATAAAAGGTTTTTAAGAAACATGCTGCCTATCAATATATAGGATGTGTTACAGGTTATTTTTACAACAAACCTTGATATCAGGGGGCCCTTTTTCCGTTTAATAATCTTATATTCGTTTCACGAATTTTTAATATGGATAGAAATATATGTTATAAATGAGATTAAACTTTTAACATATAAGGTAAAGAAATCCAAATAAATACCTATTTATAAACACCAACTATTTAAAAGTATGATTGTAAACCTGCAATAATTCAACAATCGGCTTGTATGCGTATGAACAAAAACATTCAAGGCAGAAAAAGGAGATAAACATTTTGATGTATAGACTGGACACAGTTGCCTCTACTTAAGCCCGAAGTAAAATATTGTTATGTTATCAGAGGTAAAAGCTGGAGAACATGTAACTTCGAACTTTACTGTTACAGTGTGCCCAAGTAGACAGAACTTTCCATAAAATGGCTTCAGAAGAACATCTCCAGTTTCTAGCTCACCGAAATGGAATAGTTTAAACATTAGTTTGCTGTGCATAGCAAGTTTGATTTTGTACATCATCAATGTCCATCAATACCAGACATCTATCTATCTATCTATATTATTAATACGCTACATACAACTTTGTGAACGATAAGGTTTTTTGTTTTACTATTTAAACCCACATATTATATACCAAAATGTTCGTCTAGGTGTGTAGATTTGCAAACTGACCTTACATTTTTGACATTGAATTCGAGTGACAGGTACACTAGTATTTTTTAATCCGCGGTTGATATACGTAAATAATTTGCACTCATTAGCATGATGTTTTATGCATAAGGGCGCAAACATTGTTACGTTTACATTTTAAATTTAAAAGGCAAGGAAGGTGTGAGAGGTGTAAGAGAGTGATTAAAACCTTTTATGCATATTAGGTTCTAAAGTGTCTAGTGGTTTACAAAGATTATCATTAGTCACTTACTCTTGTTTTCATATTTTTGATTAATACTTTTACCAACTAAAACTACGGAACCTACTAAAAAAAACCATACTCCATGGAATAAAATTTGTGATGATTGAGTTGGATATATCATATCATATAATCTTAAATTGTAATATGTTTAACTAATCAGTGTATAAATTTAATTACGACACCGTAGAACTTGTAAGAATTAGTTTGCAGAGTGAATGAAATGGTTAATTATTATTCTTAACTTGGTTACTAAATGCATTTCAATTGAAAAATAAATGGAAAACTTCTAATAAGTTAATATTGTAATATTTAAAATTAAATTATGAAATTAACATTTAACATTTGTGAGGAAATTATGTATGGCATTCTCCATATTCTCATAGAATTGTAGGCTTAAAAGATCATAAAGAATTTTAATTGATAATTTCCAATTTTCATTCGCAAGCTGATTGGTTAGCTAATACTATTGACTATATAGTCAAAACTAATACTAAAAGTAACATTCTTGCTTTTTATCCAAACATAAAAGTGTCATTGCTAGACTAACATACGATTAAGGAATGACCTTCATTTACTGTATTTAATGTGTTTGCTGTACGCATAAATTTTATTTCAATTGGAAATTCGGCAAATATTTGATTGGCTGATCCAACAGTGACAGATGGCAGATGCAGATATTCGATAATTTTAACTATAAACTTATAGCCTAAGCTAACTATCCAAATTTGGTTATGATAAAAAAATCAAATAAAGGTTTACTAATCGAATCGATAATTTCAATCAATATTAGGGTAGCCCAGTTAAGAAACTGTACCCAAAGCCATGACGTCACTGTTGGATCAGCCAATCAAAAGACTCCATTCGCCCTTTATGCCGGAACTCCAATTGAAATTAAAGTTAAGCTTACTGCACTCTTAATTTATGACTTAGAAACCAGCTGTACGTAGAGTAATAGAGCTTAACAAACAATCGCACATACTTTACAATCACCCTCACTCCATCATTTATGTATACTCGGTTTGATGTTTGAAAGTTGA